GGCACTCTTGTCTCGACCATCCTTCATACTGAATGCTACAGCAGTCCGTCAAGTATGTTCTTTACCAGACACTTCAAGAACTGCTCAGTCTGAAATTTGTCAATTGTGCCAATGTAATAAAAGTCATCAACTTCTTTTTGGTGCTTCGTCTCCTATTAGTCGTGCTCCCTTAGACCTCTTGTACTCTGATATATGGGGCCCTGCAACGATTACCTCCATCGATGGCTCTTTGTTCTATTTGTGGACCATTATACCAAATATGCATGGTTCTTATCATTTCCAAAAAAAAAAAAAACAGATGTGTTCACATTATTTTCTAAATTCAAGGCACTTTTGGAAAATTTCTTTAAAAAAAATTTCACCCTATATGCTGATGGTGGTGGTGACTATGGAAAACACAAACAATTTTTCTCTAATCATGGCATCACTCATCTCACCACCCTACCTTACACCCCACAACATAATGGCTCCGTTGAGTGTCACCACCGCCATGTTGTTGAAATCGGTCTTACTCTCCTTCACTATGCCTCAATACCTCTTTCCTTTTGGTCTCATTCATTTCTCACTCATTTTGTAACGAAGGATTGGTGCACGGGGGAGATTCTGTTACGTAGCCAAGTAAAAGGGATGTTTATCAACTTCCTCCAGTTATGCGAGTTCACCAACTCAATCAATCAGTCTTCACAAGTGAACAAAAGCCTATGAGTGACTGGCACTCTCAGCTTGATCATCCTTCATACCAAATCCTAAAGCACTCTGTTAAGTATGTTCCTTACCAGACTCCTCAACAACTGCTGAATCTGAATTTTGTCAATTGTGTCGATGTAATAAAAGTCATCAACTTCTTTTTGGTGTTGCATCTCTTACAAGTCATGGTCCCTTAGACCTCTTGTACTCTGATATATGGGGCCCTGCCCCAATTATATCCATCGATGGATCTGTTATATTTGTGGACCATTATACCTAATATGCCTAGCTCTTTTCATTGCAATAAAAAAATACATATGTGTTCACATTATTTCCCAAATTCAAGGCACTTTTGGAAAATTTCTTTAAAAAAATTGTCGCCCTATACGCTGATGGTGTTGGTGACTATGGAAAACTCAAAACAATTTTTCTCCAATCATGGCATCACTCCACCTTACACCCCACAACATAATGGGTCTGCTAAGCATTGCCACCGCCATATTGTTGAAATCGGTCTTACTCTCCTTCACTATGCCTCAGTACCTCTTTCCTTTTGGTCTAATGCATTTCTCACCGTTGCCTACCGTATCCAGCACCTACCCACCCCATTGCTAAATCTCCAATCAACATATGAAATGCTCCTTCGAAAGAAGCCCAACTACCTCAAGCTACGCATCTTTGGTTGCCCTTGCTACCTTTTGCTTAAACCATTTGGAAAGAACAACCTAGCTCCTAAATCTTGTCCTTTCATTTTTTTTGGCTACTGACTCCAACCACTGAAGAGTGTGCAAATGCCTCAATCTTTCATCCAGCTGTCTATTTCTTTCTCATCATGCCATCTTTGATGAAAAACACTTTCCTCAAGCATCTATGACATCTTCCAACTCTCAATTTAGTTCCTCTTCTTACTCTTGGATTCCGTCTTCTTCTAACAGTATGGCATTTTCTCCCCAAATCTCATGCCCGTTCCTCCAAGGATCTCTTCGGATCCGCTAGTTCGTCAACCTATATTGCATGATAATCACACATCAAGTTCCATAGACGTCCGGAGCCAATCACATTGTTTCCTGTCTCTCCCAAGCCCACATCTCCTACTTTGTTATCCTCCTCGCTACAACCAGAAGTTGTATCCCAGTTCTCCTTCTCCACTCTACCCATATTGGATTATTATGCCTCCTCTTCTCAATCATCTTAGGCTCCCCATTCATTATCAATTCCAGCAAGTGTCACCTCCTCCACCTCAGCTTCACTCCCACCACCACAGCCACCTCCTTCGACCGGTACACGGCATAGTTCTGAATAACGGTAACGGCTGCCATAACAGTAATGGTAACGGAGTAATGGACGTGGGATGAAACGGGCATTATGTATTTCTAACTCTAAGCTTATGTAAATATAGGCCTTTTGTGACATGTTATACATTTTATTGTATTATAAACGATGTTATATAAATTTATCTTCTAATAATTACGTGATAATTTATATATTTTCTAGTGACTTTTAATTGAAGGGAACCCACTTAAATATTTTTGTGAGAATTTAGAAACCATACCCAATTGAGATTTTATCAAGACTCTTTTTTAAATTATGGTATACATTCCTGGAAAAATATTAGTAAAATATAAAACAAAAAATTTGTTAATTCTATTGGGCCGAGCTAAACCCATTTTTGATATTTGGGCGAACTTTTAGCTATCACATTTAGAGATCTCTTGTTTTCACAAGGGATAGCGTAGTCTTTTCACCCATGGTAAAAAAACCCTAATATAATCCCTTTCCCTAGAGCCATTTAAGCGCCGTTCATCTACCCTAAATAGAGATTTCGACTCTTCCTTCGATCACCGACCTTGATTTATCACATAATTTTCTCACCGGCTCAATTCCATCAAATTTTGATAATTGTAGTACGTTGGAAAGCTTCAATGTATCGTATAATCAGCTCACGGGACTAGTACCATCATCAGGTTCGATATTTTCAATTCTTCATACGTCGTCGTTCATCGGAAACAAAGGTCTGTGCGTAGGATTCTCCACAGACCATGCCGGACAGGTGGACTCACCGCCGCGGCAGTAGAGGTTTGGTCACAGCCGTATCGTCCACTCAAAGTAGCCAAGCAGTAGCGTTTGCCGATGCCGTCGAAGAGGTACCAAATCTACACACCTCATTCTCTTAATATCTACTCTTCTCTTTTCATATAATCTTCTTGATTTTCTTGTTTTTTGGTGGCAAAATCAAGAGCTATTGATGTGTAACGGCCATTACAACAATATAACGGGATGTAACGCCCGTTATAGTCCGTTACACTACCGTAATGCCCGTTACAGGTGTGATTGTTTTTCTAATCAATAAATTGGGGTGTAACAGTATCGTCGACCTTCGTTACTATTACATAACGGCCGTTATGTACAGTAATGGCCGATTTTCAAAACCATGGTACACACCCTATGTGCACTCGATCCCTTAACAGTATTTTCAAACCCAAGCAGCTTCATCTCACCACCAAACACCACATTCCTATTTCAATTGAATCTTCGGGTATTATCCAAGGCTCGCCTTGTGGCTAAAGGATTTCATTAGCGGCCTGGTCTAGACTATACTAACACCTTTAGTCTGGCTGTCAAGCTAATGACTAATTGAATTGTCCTTACTCTTGTTGTTACTCGCGATTAGCCTAACCCAAGCCCAGCCCAAGAATACTTGAGGCCCTAGGCAAAAAATTTAGATGGGCCCTAAATTATTTATAGATGAATAATTTGGTTATTTTTATTTTTAATTGTAAATATTTAAATTCATATCTTTTAGTAGATATATTTAAGGTCGAAAATAACTTGCAAAACAAACACACTATATGAATGATTATTTTATTAAGATTAAAATTATCTCAAAAACTATAATTCAAGAAAATTAAACTAACTAAATAGATCAAAGTTATGGAAAATTCAAATAAAATGAGGGAGCAGAATCTTGTAATTTTGTGTACAATAATATGGTGAGACCTTTTTCTTTTCTTTTTGAATGTACATATATTTATAATTTAAAGAAAAATGTTTTTCAAATATTTGATCATTTGACGTAACATCCTAATTTTTTTTATATATTTTTTAAATTTAGTCGTATGGAGACAGATGCGAATGGGGCTCTAAGCGAGTGGGGCCCTAGGCAACGACCTCACTTGCCTAGGGGTGAAGCCAGCTTAGGTCTATCCAATCACTTAATGTCAATAATGCTTTTCTTCATAATTCCCTCGATGAAGAAGTCTACATGGCCCAACCTCCATGGTTTGTCGATCCTCATTATTGTCGCTTTCAAAATTTGATTTATGGCTAAAAACAGGATCTTTTGAGCCTGGTATAATGCCCTTAGCTCCTTCCCCTTTATCTTTGGGTTTATAAATTCCAAATCACATATGTCACTTTTTCTCTATTCTGACAATGGCCTCTAGATCTATTTTCTTGTCTATGTTGATGACCTGGTGATCAAAACGAATAATGTGCATCAGATTAACATGGCAATTGTCACTCTCTCACTCTCTGTCAAGTATTTGGACCCTCTTCATTACTCTCTCGAGGTTGAAGTTATCCCAACATCAAATGGATTGTTCTTAACTCAGCATAAATACATACCTGGACGATATGAGCGGGTCCAAGGAACTTGCCCCTCCTTTTGCTGCTAATTGCTCTTCATGCCTGGACGATGGCGCTCCCTTTGCTAATGCTAGTGAATATTGTCGTATAATGGGCACATTACAATATCTCTCCCTCACCAAACTTAATATTGCATTCACTGTGAACAAGCTAGCTCAATTTATTCATCACCTATCTCTTCTTCACTAGACTACTGCCAAGCATGACCTACGGTATCTATAAGCACATTATATCATGGGTTGTATCTCAAGAAGCACACTTCCACATCGGTGGCAACCTCATTTCATGGCGGTCTTGAAAGAATCGATCATTTACGCAGTCCTCTATTGAGGCTGAGTATTGTGTCATTGCAACCACATAATCATTTTGGCTATTGTTTGTTTCCTTTCATGTATTTTGTCACATGTATGTAGTCTCATTATAAGCAACTACAAATAGATCAATGGAAATATGTTGAGAAGTATTCTCTACATATTATATTATTTCCTTTATATGCCATCCTTCAGACATTGTGCATGTTCAAGGACAATATTATGCAGTGCTTGTAACAGCATGAGAAAATGCATTGATGTGCAAAGCCCACAATAGACATCAATGAACGTAACAACAATAATTGCTCTCAACACTTCAACATCATGTATGGAGGTTTGAAACCCTACAAATATTTCTCACTGCAAAATGTGAAGAATTCTTAACTTAAACAGTCAAAGCTGATTAAAAAATCTTAATGCAAATGAGGAACATTGAGAATAATCAACGTAAAGAGATAAAAGCACAAACTCACCCCAGGAGCCAGATCATATCCAGTTGCATTCGTACCAACTCCAGATAAAAGCAATAGCGGATGATTCCTCAGAGGAGCCTGTAAAACACAACATTCATATAAATAAAAGTCTCTATTTTATTCCCGCTAATCCACAAAAAGTTGCCCTCCAAAGATTTCAAAAATTGTTACACCCTCATTTCTCTCTTTACTTGGACAAATTCAGAGGCTGTGGCGGAGCCACGTAAGGGTGCCCACCCTCAATTCTTTTTACCTTGCCATTACTCATATAATTTGTATTCATTTTTTTCATTCTGTCCAACTATGCCCACTCTATTATATTTTTATTATATCAATTAATAAGACTCATTCCTACATGATTATTAATTTATGGACAAACTTTGAAGCATTCATATAAGTTTGGAAGTATTATTGGAGTGCAATCTAGCATTAAGTTTTTGAACCTAACAGAGATTTTTTATCTTACTCAAAAAAAATTTAAGACAAGAAAAGACGTAGTATATCCTTTCATTTACATATTTGAGACTTTGACATTGATTTTACTAGTTGCGACAGTAACTATTACTTTCAGTTATAAACCTTGTGAAGATTGGGTTATTTTAATCGAATGAGTAATATAAATATGACTGATAACATAATATAGTTGTCAAATCATGTATCGAAAAGCGTATCGTTTTTCAAAAATAGTTTATCGTATCATATCGTGTATTGTAAGATACGTGCAATTTTAATTTTTTAATATATATATATATATATATATATATATATATATATATATATATATATATATATATATATATATACCCTTTTGTAAAAAAATCATAAACTCATAATAATATAGCATTTCATTAATATTCCACTAACTATTGAAGTTCCCAACATAGTTCAGTAATATCAAAATACAAAGATCTCTAATTCAAACTTCTAACATCGACTGCTTGAACAACTTTAATATTAATCAAAAATTTTGAACTCAATTGAATAACATTAATAACAAACTTTTATTTTTTTAAACCACAACCACTGAAACGACATTGTTTCACTGGCTAGTGATTTAAAAATAAGTTTTAGGGTAAAACTATGTCATTTCAATCCCAAAAAACTAAAAAAAAATATAGAATCGTCATATATCAGACGTATCGTATCGTGTATCGTACGATACGGTACAAATCGATACAGAAATACAATATGTATCGTTTTTCAGATGTATCATAACGTATCATACGATATGTATCGCGTATCATCAAATACTAAAAACAGAAGTTCTATGTATACAAAAAAATATTTTTCAATGGTATTGATAATGAAACTATCATACAATGCTATCAACATATGAAAACCAGTCCGGGTCAATTGTAAATAGTTATAATTAACCTTATTGTAAGACGTTAGTAAAAGGTTATACTCAATCACCTTTTCTTTTCTTTTTGTACACATTGAATGCCAATTTCTGTCTATTTTTTGTTGAATAGATTTTTAAGTATCATTCATGAGATAAATAAAGATAAACATATTATCTTACTTTCACCGATTAGAAAAAAACTTGTTAAGTACCCACCCAAAAAAAAATTTCTGGCTCCGCCCCGGTTCAGAGAGGCAATGCATATTGGATCATACCCACTTTGGCCTGAGGGTGTTGAGATTGTGGACTGATCATAATCCTACCCTTGTTAAATTTTGTACAAATTACAAAAATGGCTGTCTTTAACTTGCTAAATGCAAGAATGCAAATGAGAGAGAGAGAGAGGACCTTGGGAGAGCCTTTGTAGCGCCAGAGAGCAAGCCTCCAGTCGGAGTTATGTACAGATACGTAGTGAAGCTCGTCGGCCGTACAAATGGATGGCTTATTCGCATTTTTCTTCCCCGCAATGAGAGCTATCAAACTCGCCCGCGGCGTACGGACCGAGAGGCGAGTGTCGGGTGTGAAGTCAGAGCGGGCCGGGTTGAGGAGGTGAGACAAGGGGGTCGCAATGTGGGTCGCCGACCGGAGATCCGACTGAAACACAGCCATCTTTGTCGTACGATTTGTGAAAATTGTATACAACGTTGTTGTTCTTAATATATACATTTGTTGTTGGCCATTTTGGAGCCAGAAGGATGCGTTTATGGGCGGTGAAGGTTTTCTTACATCTGTTGATGGAAAAATCCTGAGCAGATAAATTACGTACCAAGCGAGAGGCTACCTTTTGTTAATGTATGAAAATTATATATTATATTATTTATCCACTTACATTAGCCGCATAAAAAGTTGCAAGCACTTTACTCTCAGGGGAATGTTTAAATTTTAAAGTAAAATTAAAAAAATGTAACTCAAATATATATCATTTTTTAAATGAGTGAGTTATATTAATTTTTTTAATAGGGCTCACTCATCTCACATCAGTAATGCTACGCTAAATAAATTTTGAGATCAAATTAAAAACTCAAATGATATGACAACATATTATTTAGAATCTTTTATTATGGCTCAAATAACATGACATCAAATAAAAGAGGCAAAGTCAGCTGTCATGTCAATTTGGCTCTTAATCTGGTCCAAAAATTTGGTCAGCATAGTAATACTGATCTCCGATTCATCCAAGGGTTAATATGTATTTGAAATTTAACTTTTGAATTTCAGTTAAATTATGTAACATTTTCCTTAATCTTATGATCTGTTTGATAGAGTGGATAAAAAAATGGAATGGAGGAATGAGGAATGATATATTTTTCATCCTTTAAGAGGAGAAAATATTCAGTGTTTATCAGGTACCAGGTTGTCAATGACAAATAGTACTCATCACCAATTAATGGATGTCACCTCAAGGCAGGCAGTAAAAAGAGAAAAATTGAAGGACAATCTACATTGAGGTGACATCTCTTGATTAGTGATGAATACCAACCGTCAACGACAACCTGGTACTTGTCAATAACAAAATATGAGGTGACATCCATTGATTGATGATGAGTATTAATTATCATTGACAACCTGGTACCTAATAAGCACCGAATATTTTCTGCTTCAAGAGAGGAATCCTTCATTTCCTCCTTTGATTTCATTTGGTTAGGTGAAAAGTGACGATGAAAAGTAAAAATGAGAGAAATTGACGTAAAAAAAAGAGTAAAAGATAAATATATATTATTGTTTATATTTGGTTATGGGAAAAATTATTATAGAAACTTACAAGAAAATTTGTGTAATTTCTAAATTGCCCTTGTATATTAAGTGCAAATTTTTTTTGGTCTCTGCCTTGAGCTTTACCACACTCGAATATTTCTTAATCTAATTTGCTATTTAAATCTAAAAATGTGATATAATTTATTAACTTAATGATATAATTATATTATAAATATTCAATTGATATCAAGTTCAATATTTGATGGGACTCACGATTAATTTTTAAGTGATATGATGAATAAAATCAACTAATTAGGTTAATAGATTAAGTTCAAATAGTATTGTTCCTATGACTTATTCAAGTTACCTGCAATTAGAAACATGGAGTTCAAGAAATTGGAAAAAAAAAAAAAAAACACCTACCTAGCAAACATAAACTCTCCTCTCTGTGTTCGTTAATCAACCATCGTTACCGGTAAAACACTCATTTTTAATGATGGATTTTATAAAAATAAAGAATTGAATAAGAATAAGGAGTATTTTGGAGATCTTCCAACTCTAAAGGAGTGTTTGACGTGACTTAAATAAAAGTGTTTTTGTGACTTTTATAAGCACTTTAACAAAATTAAAGTGGTTTTTGGATTTACTTATTTAAAACACTTTAAAGTTAAAAGTAATTTTATCACTTAATTAAGTTAATAAATAAAAGTCAAAAAAAAAAAACTTTTACTTGCACAAAAACACTTCCACGCTAATTACTTTCCACCTCAATTTGTCGCGCCCGATCTTCTCTGTCGAAGAAGTCTCCCTTGGCAGCTCTCATCGGTGTTCTTCCAGCTCTCCGACTATCGTCGACAAGGTAGGGAGACTTCTCGCTCACAGCCGTGCTGCCTCTCCCGATTCAAATGCTCTCATCGACGAACAACACCGACAACGACCACTTCGCCCTCAATTACTTCGCCGATCACCGACGACGCCAAAAGTAGCTCCCTCTATCACCGATCTTTGTCTTATTGTTGATCCAGATCCACTGTAATAGAGGTACAACCTCTTCATTTAAAGTGATTTCTTGTGTGTTTCTGTAATTTTTTTTTGAGGTTTTTAGGTTAATGAAATTTGTGGAGATCATTGAATGATTTTGGAAAAAAAATGTTTTTATTCATTACATATTAGATCTGTGATCTTTATGATTTAGATCTTTGATATTGTCCACTGCCCGCCAGATGTTTGATTGATGAAGGCACCTAAAATTGTCCTGTGCAATGAACTCTATAAAACTTAGCATTCTTTTTTTGGGTAATTGCATGCTAAACCCATAAAACTTAGCTTCACGGTACATAACATTGGTCCAATTGGTATAATGGGTTGCTGAAAGTAGAAAGCTTAGCCCAGATATGAGTTGTGTTTTTGCCGTAAATAATTTTTAAAAGCCAGTCCTCACCATCTACTTTGTGAAATCTCAACTCTAACATGTCTTATTTTTTTCATTTTCTAATGTGTATTGTTACTTATAGATGGTTGGAAGGGTTTTTGGGTTAAATTGGTTTTTGAGTGTTTGGGTTAACTGTGATCTAAAAGTTCAACTGTGATCTAAAAGTTCTTGTCCATGCTGCATCCATTCTATTGTAGATTATTCCATTAACAAACACCACAAATAAAATCCAAAGCACATTAATTTTTGGGAGCCAAAATCTGTTGATAAATGTATTCTTTCTCTTTGTGCTCGATTGCTCATTCAGCCTCACAGCCACCATGTGGTGGCTATGATTCTTCACACCATGTAAGTATATTGGGGCCCTTAGTGGTCTATGCTTAGGACCGGCGCTGGCGCTGTTCAGGAGATAGATTTCAAAGATGGGTTTATATGGATCACGGGGGCTCTGATTGCCAATGTGTCTCTTTCTAATCTTAGGAGAGAGAAAATTCTCCACTTCTCATAATCAAAAAAGGGTATGTCTTTGATTTGTTTTCTGATTTTTTACTTTCTTATCGTAGATGGGTTTGTTGTTATTTAGGGTTTTGATTGTCCTTGATTGCCAGTTGTGGTTGTATATGTTTCTATGTTAGCTTATTTATTGTTGTGGTAGTCCAGAAATTGATTTTTAATTATCTCATTTCGGTAATTGTCCAATATGTTTTAGTTCTCAATTGGGCAAGACCTTGTATATCAATTGTCTTTTTCTTTCTCCAGGGCTGGGACCTCCAAACTTTTCAATGCATTGAGACACTTAATGATCATGCTGATGCTGTGATGTCTGTGCTTTGCTGGGATAGCTTCTTGTTATCTGGTTCCCTCGACAGTACAATAAAGGTTTGGGCTGCAACTGAAAGTGGGAACTTGGAAGTAGTATATTTAACATCATTGGAAGTAGTATATTTCACTGGACATGCAACTGGGCAGCTCTTTGTCTGAAAATTGCTTGGGGAGACAAGTACACAGCCTTCATGAAAACGTTTTTGTATAGATAATTCCCTTGTAAATACACGGAACTTGTAGCGAAGTAGAAGCAACATGATTAGTTTTAGCCAAACTGCAGATGTGTAAAATTTCATTCGGGTTAGTGAAAGCGAGTTTTTTAAGAATATTAATGTTATCATTTAAGGGACAATCAAACATGATTTTTGATTGTATTTACTATTAACATGTGTTTTGCGACTTTAGTATGTTTTGAGGTAGTTGGACTATGTAGTTTTTTCGAATGATATCTTTATGAATATGATTTTTGTGTATGATTTTTTTTGTGTATCATTATATGTGTAGGATATGTGCAATCAATACTATTAACAATTATGACACAAATTAGTGCTTTCACATCCAAACGTGGTTGTTATAAAATACATTAATTTAAGTATTTTAAATTTTTAGTATCCAAACACTACTTATTTAATAAAAATATTTTTCTTATAAACACTTTTGATAAATATTTATTAAAAAAGTATTTTTTGGATTTCACAAGTTATCTCAAACACACTCGTATAGTAACTTGTTTTTTTTAAAGGGGTGCAACACGAAGATTTTTCAGGAGGTCACCCATCTTAGTACTACTTTTGTCCAAACACGTTTAACTACGAAGTTCTGATCTGTAATTATTTTTTTTAGTTATAATTTCACTGCAAGTAAATCATAATTGATTTTTTTATAGAATCGCAATTTTTAGTACAATAACAATTTCGGTGCTATGACTTTTCTCGCATGCATATATGTAAGGATGAAAATATGATATTAGAAATATCCTAAAAACTAATTTATTGTCACAAATGTTCAATTGATTCACTTTTAGTTGTTAATCTTGAAAATAAAAACAATAAAATTAGAATTACAATAAGAGACATTTCCACACATATTATGTGTTGTTTTAAAAATGAAATACAAAAAACATTTTTTTATTACTCTCTTTGCATGCATGTGCTTAATTAGGGATGCGAAGTGGCGGCCAATCCAGCTTGTCACGGCAGCGTTTCTAGGCACAAGATCTTGGAGAGCATGTGTCTCGATGATTCGTCTTTATCTATATTTATATCTATTTATATATATATACTATTAATAGAAGTACTTTAACATGAAAAATTTTTGATTTATTATTTTACTCTCATAAAAAAAATAAAAAGATCACTTATCTTTTTACCCTTAATATCTAAATTACCATCATATCCCTATACATTTAAATTTATAAATTACATCTAAGATTACTTTTAATTATATATTCCTTATGTATAAATATCAATTTTTATGAAATTTTTTGATTGATTATAATAATTTAAAAAAATATATGCATAATTATAAGTTTTATTAGTAATATAGATATTCCATATGTATAAATGTAATTTTATGAAAATTTTTGACTGATTATATTACTCTTAAAAAATATATGCATAATTACAAGTTTTAACAAAAATATTCAAAAATCCTTCAAAAAATTTATTTATATAATATTACTCACCTCATTTATAAAGATAATATTATAACTACACATATATTTTATTTTTCATCAAAATGTTTAACCCTGTATGTATATTTTATTTTTTTTATAAAAAATAATGTATATATAAATTTACATAATTTTTTAGTCACAATAAACTTTTCAGACTATGTTAAGATTTTATGTGAAAATTTGACTTTTTTTTAAATTCGAATATGTTTTATAATATATATTATAACATTGTATTTTAAATTTTATCTCAATGAACCTAGATAATCCAAAACACAGTAAGGTAGATAATTATTTTTATTTTATTCAATGATTTATAAGTGCAATTTTAATCAAATTAATTTTTTTAATTATTTATTCTCTATTTATAAATGTCATTTTTTATGAAAATTTTTAATTGATTATATTACTCTTAAAAATACATGTATTATTATAATATTAACAAAATATTCAAAAAAAAACTTTAAAAATTTCATCAATATAATATTACTCACCTGATTTATAAAGATAATATTATGACTACATATGTATATTTTATTTCTCTTCAAAATGTTTAAATATTTTATTTTTAAGATAAAAAACAATATATATATATATAGTTTTACATGATTTTTTAGTCCCAATAGACTTTTTAAACTGTGTTAAGATTTTATGCAAAAACTTAATTTTTTTAAAAAATTTAATATACTTTATAATATATATTATAACGTTGTATATTAAATTTTATCTCAATTGACCTAACTAATCCTAAATACGTTAAGGTTTCAATATGATTGGTATTTTGATAATTATTTTTATTTTATTCAATGATTAATAAGCTGAATCTTGATCAAATTAATTTTAAAAAATTTAATTTTCAAACATCACTAAACAATCACTTTCAATTACAAAATTATAGAATAAATAGAACTTTGATTTTTTTTTTTTATCTTTTTTCTTAAAATTAAAATAATAAATCTTGAAAATATACAAAGGTTTCAAAAATTCTATAGTCGAGCATGAGCGATGAAAAAATAAGTTTAGTAAATTTTTGCTGATATTTAATTCAAGTACACATTTACTAAATATTTATTTATTAATTTTTTTTTAAAAAAGTATTCACGTGCAACGCACGTGGTGTATTGCTAATTACCTTAAAAATATGGAAATTTAAAATATAATAATTATCATCTCGAGATTTTATATTTATATTTGACTATCACATGAGAATTTTGCTTCCTATAATAAATATTATTAGGGGTAATCCGTGTCTGAAGGTACGATACATGAGAATTCTGCATGTAAATTAACCCAGATACCCCTGACCGTTGAAAAAAAAACAAGTTTAAAGTTTATTTAATTCATAAAATATCAAAGCAATTGAAAAAAGAAAAATAAATCTTCAAAATATTATTGTCAAAATACCAAAACCTAATGAATAGCTTTATGACTTAACATCAGTCAAAAAAATCCTAGTAGTCCAAAATTACCCAAAAATTCAATCTTTACATGTAAAATTATAAAAATAGAAAAAATAGAAAAGTACATAAAAATATTCTAAATATCGTTTTTGGTTTAAAATCAATTAAGACGATGAAATCAATCTTGTAAAATTGTAAAATAAAAAATTCATAATGAAATCTTATATAATTTTCTAATATCGAAATTTGAAATAGGTCCCGATTAATACCCTCCCCTAACCATCCCATCCTAATCTATCTGATATTTCTAGGGTATGCTTGCGTGCTACATAAGTTCCAAAATAAAAATCTTTGCGTAATTGTGTCATTGCTATAGGAACAAGCAATAGGGATGCTTCTTTGGTACATAACATGTGGGGGACTATTTGACTTTTAGAAAAAAATTTGATATTATATTGAAATTAATTTAGAACTGTAAATCTTGATTTATATTATAAAAATAATAACATAATAAGATAAAAAAAAATGGGACTATTTCCACCTCATAAATATTCATTCTCGCTTTCTTTTAGATATTGATAGATTTTGGGTGTGAAATTATTTTGAGTGCTTGATATTTTTTGAAATTTTAGATAATTCACCCTCAAATAGAAAACATATTTCTAATGTTATACCAGAGAATTGTATTGTTAATGACATATTAACATGCTATGATTATTGTTTTTTTTATTGAGTGATGATTACAAGTTAAATGATATATTAAAATTTTTTTTAACAAGATATATTAATTATGACCAAAAAAAAAAAGAAGAACAAGATATATTAACATGTTAATGGGGTGAGCCTAGTCACTAATTGGTGAGTACATAAGAGGATGAACTTAATGATTAAAGAGATGTACATAGAATGAATGAGCTTACTTAATAAAGGGATCCATATAGCATGTAGTGAACTTACTATTAAGGAAGGTATAAAATAGGTGAACTTAATAGTTTGATAATAACAAATTAAATAAGGTGGGAATAGATATTTGTGGAATGAGAATAACCTCACTCTAAAAAAACTTGTATCTATCAAATTCTTATTGGACAAAAGACAAAAATATGATAATAAAAAGTTAATTTTTTGATATTATAATTAGAGTATATCCACATCGAGGTGTAGCTGTAGGCCATGTTGCTACAGGATTAATGAGCACATATACCTAGCTGACACCTGACATTTAATAACCACCTCTGTTTCACATAAATGCCCAATACAAATCATTACATGATGCCTTATGGTGTTCGAAATCAATTAACCTAATTATAGAATCGCTTAGGGCGTGGTTCAGAGGGAATGAATATGAGCCTACGTAATAGAAAGCGTGTGTTGACAATGAAACAAAGATAGAAATATAAGTGGTTCATCTCAGCCGATGGACTAAGGTTACATTCACTGTAAGGAAGACTTTTGCTCCTTGAGAATTATACTGCTTAGAGAAGAAGATTGTTGTTACAAGAGATTTGGCTAGAAGCCTTTTACAGAGTGTTTCCTAGGTTACTGCTGGGTGATCTTTTTTTTTTACATATCTCTACTCAATGGTGTCGTTTGCTATTTATACATCCCATCATTAGGGTTTGTGGTGGTTCCTTTCCTGGTTGATTCTATGGTCCCCTCCTTGTTTGTCCATTAACTTTCAAGTTTTACATGGATACGTGCATAAGATAGGTTTGCCCATGATCTGTCACTTTCTCCTCCAGGTAGAAAAGCCAGACTGATCCTGACATCTCTGACGTTTTCCTGCTCCCACTACGCCTTGAATAGAATACGTGAGCCATCTCTATTGTCGGTGAATATTCGTTCGTTGTCAAGAAATGTCCCATTGTCTCTTGTCCACATGTCATGGCATGACCATCAGTGAATTGCCTGGTGCCAAGCTCCCAATTCCCTAACGGATATTAGTACTGAGCTTGTTGATGGCTAGTTGACATATCATCCAAGCTGAATTATTCTAGGCTTTCATGGCTCCAATAAATGCTATCTAGATGAGGCGCTTGAGTCATCTTACGTGAGCCCAAAGGGGTTTTGGGCTTCGAAAGGGTGCACAGACTTAAATCCATCATCATTAACACCTAATACAATCAATACTATCTTTATAGAGATTAAGATTCTTCTCTAGATTTAACTCTCGATTATTCTATGAATGGTGGTAGATTACTAATTATGTATTTGTGAAAGACTCACTTGAATATTATATTTATATGGCGTGTTTGGATTCTATCTCAAAAATTAGTATCCGAAAATAATTTTTGAGAAGAGTTTTAGAAAAGTGTGTTATGATTTTTTTGAGACGAAGAAGTTGTTTGGTTAGA